CTTCTTTACTACTTATGTGCCATAAGCAAGTCTGAAAAGTATGGCCAATAATATAAAACTTCAAAATTTTATAAAGTATCAATATTCCTTAGACAATTTTTGTTGTAACTTACATTTACACTTTTAAAATAGGAAAAGGGAGAATGCTTTATAACAATATACCAAGTGGGCCAAAAGTTATACTGAAGTTAAACCTAACAAGTGACAAATCAAAAATGAAGAGACACAGTATACAAAACTGTAAAAATCTAAAACTAATAGTCTTGCATTGCCAAAATCAACAATGCTGAACAAGCCCAAGAATAATTTGTTAGACGTGTGTGAGAACTGTTTGACAATTTTATGTCACCACTTGCATTATAAAGGACTGAGATCTTGCTGCAATTATATACACTCCTCTCCACAGAAACAAAAGGTAGAAATGAAGTAATTAATTAAAAACCAAACATGATTAATTTAACATGACAAAGTATTTTCGGTTACAATAAACATCATACTAGTAAAAATTCACTAGTTAAATTTGATCTTATACAGGGAAGACCATTTCAAAAAATTACTTGCGGCTTTTCCTTTTTTTTTTTTTTTTTTTTAATCAATTTGAAAAGAAGAAAGTAAAATGATAAAAAGAAAACCCAACAAAAATGAGCATTGCCTTTACAGGTTTAAAAATACCAAAGGTGAGTACCCTCATTTATCATTTTAACATAGGACAAAAATCCTAAAAAGCCCAGTTTTCCTTGAGTCTCAAATAAATTTGCTTAGGGAAATATTATAAATCTGGGAAAAAATATCAGACTTTCTTAAACAAATAAAACTCAGTGGAAAGCAAGCATAAAAATTAGTCCACAATGGATCTTAATTTTTAAATTTTTCCATTAAAATAGAATGGCTGATTTATTATGCAGCTCCATGAATTATTAAAGAGTCTTCACAGCTTCGTCCTCCTAATTCTTTGGAATACTATTTATGTAGGCCACACAATAAAGAATGCTAATGCCATTTACTTTTCTTTCTAATATCACGACCTAAAACTGCAGAATCTATAAGTAATGCTTGCTTTTTACATGTATTACTCATGTGCCTGGCACATAAATGTTAGTTACTATTATATTACTAACTCGAATGATTCTATTAAATGCTATGATTTCTTTTTTTTTTTTTTTTGAGACAGAGTCTTGCTCTGTCGCCCAGGCTGGAGTGCAGTGGCCGGATCTCAGCTCACTGCAAGCTCCGCCTCCCGGGTTCACGCCATTCTCCTGCCTCAGCCTCCCGAGTAGCTGGGACTACAGGCGCCCACCACCGCGCCCGGCTAATTTTTTGTATTTTTTAGTAGAGACGGGGTTTCACCATGTTAGCCAGGATGGTCTCGATCTCCTGAACTCGTGATCCGCCCGTCTCGGCCTCCCAAAGTGCTGGGATTACAGGCTTGAGCCACCGCGCCTGGCCTTAAATGCTATGATTTCTAAGAGCTATAATGTTACCATCTGAATTATCAAAATGCCTTACATCCTTTAAAATACCAAAAGACAAACATACACAAGAGAAGTAAGTGACTAGGAGAGGAGAGAAAAAAGCATCCTCTAACATACAACAGACTCCTCTTATTCAATGTGATGGACATTGGTAATCGTTAGTATAATGGAATGAATATTCTGTTCTACCCTAAAATTCATATGTTGAGTCCCTAACCCTCAATATGACTGTATTTGAAGACAGGGCCTTTAAGGAAGTAATTACACATAAATGAAATCTTAAAGGTGGGGCCTTAATCCAATAGGACTCTCATTCTTTTAAGAAGAGGAAGACAGATGAGACTGGAGGATGGCTTGAGCCCTGGAGTTTGAGGTTACAGTAAGGTATAATAGTGCCACTGTATTCTAGTCTGGGTGATGGAGTGAGACACTGTCTAAATCCAAAACAAAAAGAAGAGGAAGAGACACTGGAAGTGTAGATGCACAAAGGAAAGGCCTTGTGAGAACAGCAAGATAGTGAACACCTGCAAGAAGCTAAGTCTGCTGACACCTTAATCTTGAATTTCCAGCCTCCAGAACTGTGAGAAAATAAATTTCTGTTAAGTCGCCCAGTCTGTGGTATTTGGTTATGGCAGCCCAAGCACACTAATACAATTAGCTAATTGGATAAATGAAATAAAAGCAGGAAGAAATTAAAATGCTTTGTAAACATATTAAACTTACTTTAACTTAAAAAACAATATTCATTTGTATATATTCATACAGAATCAAGACCTATAAAGAATTCTAGTTTTGGCTTCTATAAAATGATGCAAGACCTTACAAAGCAATCTGGGTGCAAAAACCTAGATTGCAGTTACTTTTTTCAAAGTCATTCCCAATTCAAGTCTTTTTTTTTTTTAGCAACTCACTTTGTTCTTTCTAAAGCATTAACTTAGTTTTTACAGAAATTACAATTGTATTCTTACACAAATATTTCACTGGTCTAACTAGTATTTAAGTAGATTACATAATTACTGTAACAAATATAATTGGCATAAACAGCTCTGAGAATACCACAATAGACTCGTTAAACAAATAAATCAGCTGATAGAAGCAGAAGTACTGTATATAAATATAGTAGAGATCAAGTGACTCACCAGCTGAAAGTATTCAACATACAACATATTATTGCATCAGGCAATAATTTATTAAATAATTTATTTTGTTGTTGTTGTTTGTTTGTTTTGAGACGGAGTCTCGCTCTGTCTCCAGGCTGAAGTGCAGTGACACAATCTCGGCTCACTGCAACCTCCACCTCCCGGTTCAAGCGATTCTCCTGCCTCAGCCTCCCAAGTCACTGGGACTACAGGTGTGTGCCACCATGCCCAGCTAATTTTTGTATTTTTAGTAGAGACAGGGTTTCACTATGTTGGCCAGGCTGGTCTCGTACTCCTGGCCTCGTGATCCGCCCACCTCGGCCTCCCAAAGTGCTGGGATTACAGACGAGAGCCACTGCACCCGGCCCAGGCAGTGTGTTTTACAGAAGGAATGGCCAGTATTGGTTAATCGACAGGGTTTGAAATGGACGTTAGATAAGAGGGCTTCTACTGTATGCCCAAATAAATGTTACTCATTTAAAACTCATTCTGGAAGGCTGTAATGATGCCAATTTGGAAACTATTTATAGAATTTCTGAATCTGTAATGTTTTAAATGTTTAATGGTTTAATGGCAAATCATCATCCTTGAAATAGAATTTGATTTCCAAAAACAACTTTAAATCATTAGTCTGGTATAAAATAAGAGCAGCAAAGTCCAGTAAAATCATTGTAAGAAAAGCAAGGTGTTACTATAAAACAAAATAACCGATTAATAAAAAAAAAAAAAGAACTTCTTTAAAGGCAAATCTTAAAGGTAAGTTTCAAGAATATGCTGAAAAATTATGACAGAAATAGAATGAGTACAAAGATTCCACTCCAAGGATGTCACTTGAATATAAACTTCTAGTATTTTTGTTTTAAAAATGACTGCCGTACATTTTCATTTTAATTACACCATATATATCTATACATCCGTATGTTTATATGTAGGTACACAGATACCTATATATACATATAGTAGATGCCAATCAACTACTTATATAGATGTATAGGTTAGCTTTCTGAAATGCCCTGATATTGGAGCCTGATTACAGAAGATAGTTTATGTCACAATGAAAATTCTGAACATTTTTCAGTAATAAAAAAATATTTTGCATAAGGTAGTGACATAATGAATGCAGTGTTTTAGGAAGATGCATTTAACATATAAACTAGAGGTATGAAGGAGATCATTTAGGAGACTGTGAACATAAACCAGGTGTATGGTAATAAGGGTCTAAATTAGAGACAGCAAATGGAAATAAAAAGGATGAAAACAATGATATAATATATGCAAAAGGCACCATACAAATATTAGTTTTCATTACTATGAAATAATCCGTAAGATAGGAACTACATAAAAACAAGTCAAATGCAGGCTACAGATGGGTATGAAAATCTTCAGGCTGGAGCAGTGGCTCACGCCTGTAATCCCAGCACTTTGGGAGGCCAAAGCAGGCAGATCAAGAGCTCAGCAGTTCAAGACCAGCCTGGCCAAGACGGTGAAACCCCCTCTCTACTAAAAATACAAAAAAAAAAAAAAAAATTAGCCAGGCATAGAGGCAGGCACCTGTAATCCCAGCTACTCAGGAGGCTGAGGCAGGAGAATCGCTTGAAACCACAAGGTGGAAGATGCAGTGAGCCAAGATTGCCTGGGTGAAAGAGGGAAACTCCATCTCAAAACAAAACCAAAAAAAAAGTAAGGAAGAATCTTCACAGTACCACCTTTCTTCTGCTTACCCTAAAGGTCCAAAGCAAGAATGGGGGTCATCCAAGTTTCCAGTGAAATTAAGAGAGCTTTGGTTGTCAATCGACAGAAGTACAGCCCAAAGAGCTTTTGTCGATTTAATTAAGCTCCATTATGAGGCACTATTCATGTCAACTCTCGTCTGGGCATGAAATAACAAACGTTTCGTTCTTTCTTAAGCTTAAATGAATTTTGTATGTAAGAGAGAGAAAGAGAGACAGAGAATGTGTTGGGCCCTAACAAACTGGGGACATTTACTTTCTCTCTTTATAAAGCAACATATTCTCTTCATTACAGTCTGCAATCAAGTAGGTTCTGCTTTTGGAGAAAAATGGTAACTAGGACATTGCTAATTAGATAACAGTTGTCTAAGAATGCTGTTTTATAACTGAGTTAGCAACAAGGATGTCAAATAAAGCCTGAGAAGTGAGGGTCAACGTCTATTTGAACTCTACTCAATGTCTATGTCTATATCCAGCTCCTACCCTTCAATCCCAAGTGGATGCACAAATCTCTTCAACTTCTGCCTCTTGCTAAATTCATCTGTAATTTTTAAAATATCACGGAATAACATTTCCAAACTCTATCACAGAAAAACTATTTAGAAACAACTACTTTTGATTCTTTCAGAATTTATCCCAAAAATACTAAAGCAATTTACCTCAAATTTCTGCACCTTTTCCATTGTGATCAAGCGCCTTGATGTGTGACTGGAAAGCTTCTGCTCGCAGTTGCTAATGAGTTTCAGGCAAGGGTGCCAAGGCACCATCTCTTCAGTGTACCTGAAGGAAGAACAGCTGACTGTTAGGAACACTCGCATGTGTGGCCCACAAAGAATCATGGGGATCGTCCAACGTAGTGTGAGATGTTCTTCCACTATGTGCTCTTTTTCCCTACATCTGCTAACTATCCACATGATCCATAACTATCTATAATCAAAGTAGCTTAATTTTATCATATCCCAAAAATGCAGTTAAATGTTTTACCTGTAGAATAAGAGAGAAATATTGTAAGTACGTTTTGTTGAAGAACGCCAAACATTTAAACCACAGAAGTACAAGGTGATTCCACCCTACAGAACTCCATGAGAGTAGACAAAAATACACTCAAGAGCATCCCTTGACATTCACAAAAGACTGACCATCTGCAGATTTTTATAAATCCCCAAAGTGTATAATCCACTATAGCATATACTTTCCCCTCTAAACTGAAGTGCCCTTGCAAAATTTTAATAACATCTTGAGACCTCTATTATGTTTGTACATATAGAACTAAAGTTATTTATAAAATTATTCAAATAAACTACAACTAAAATAAACGCTACAGATTACATCAGTCTTCTGGTCATATGAACCAGGAAATAAAACAAAAATATGCCAATGAGTGGTGGAGACTGCTGCTGTACAGCACATGTCCTACATGGATAAAGATGATGACAACATCCAGAAAGCAGGACAGTCAATAGCAGGAGTTCAGAATCTGGCATCTGACAGCTTAGCATAAATCTTGGCCAAAGAAATAGGTAACAGAGGTGGGAGAAAGAGCTATGGAACAGAATGTGAAAGAACAGCAAAGGAGGGAACTCACTAGGCATAGGTACTTTTAAGAACACTGTGTTGCCAGGATTTCTGTTTCCTTTGCAATTTTTTACGCCTTTTTGGATGGTGTCTGCACACATTTATTATACAGGTAATCTTAAAGGTCTGATTCAAAATAGCAAAGGTGCTGATTAGCTTTTCATGTAAAGGACGACAATCTCAGCTACCTGTTTTAATGCATCAACACTGTTTTCCCCACTACTCTTTCATGAACTTTTCTAGGTCCCACTGACATTCAACGAGCTCTCCCTATTACCTCAATCATATGCTCAAACCCATCATCACCCACTTCCCAAGCATCATTCATAATGCACTTCACTTTATTATCAGTGGAAAGAATTATCTTGAAGTCATTCTCTGACTTCTTCCTAGAGCTTTCCGACAAGTAATGAGCACTTCAGATTTCACCTCATCTAGTAATTCTTTAATGTTCACTACATAGCCAGAAATGTTGTACTTCTTGTAACACTGACATCAAATTTTGAATCTTCATGCAATACATTTATGACATGAAAGAATACATTCTTTTTTTTCTTTTTCAGAGACAGGATCTTGCTCTGTTGCCCAGGCTGGAGTACAGTAGAAAGAATATATTCTACACCATGGGTGAGACTAAAATAATAAGTGCTAACAGAGAGAAGATATAGCCTTAAACTTACGCTTACAAATGTAGGATCTATAGATGCTGGAAACAGTATGTGTCAAACTAAGTAATATACTATTTTTTAAAGGAAAAAAATCTTTTACTTCCTGGTGGACTGACTTAAAGTATTTTTTTACTAAAGTGTCACTTAAATATGCACAAGCATAAATTCGATATAAATTCTTCATGCTTATATCCCTAATATAACTATAAAACCCAAAAAACAAATTTATCATTCCAATCCCAAAGTACAAAACCAATACAATTTTAATTAACATCTATGGCATGAATGATGCTGAACTGCTGAACTAAGTTGCTGCATTTGGTTTAAGAGCAGAAAAACATATTTGCATGTTTCATATTATCTTTTCTGACTCAATCTTAATTCATTTTTAACAATTATTCTATTAATGAGCCAATCAATTTAACAATATACTCCCAAAGTATCATACTAAAAAGATTAAAAACAGCAGTTAAAAAAGTATTCAGCTGGGTGTGGTGGCTCACACCTGTAATCCTAGAGCTTTGGGAGGCCAAGGCGGGTGGATCACCTGCGGTCAGAAGTTCGAGACCAGCCTGGCCAACATGGTGAAACCCCGTCTCTGCTAAAAATACAAAATTACCCATGCATGGTGGCACATGCCTGTAATCCCAGCTACTTGGGAGGCTGAAGCAGCAGAATCGCTCAAACCTGGGAGGTGGAGGTTGTAGTGAGCCAAGATCACACCACTGCACTCTAGCCTGGGCAACAAGAGCGAAACTCTGTCTCAAAATAAAATAAAATAAAATAAAATAAAAAATAAAATAATTCACTGTATATTTACCAATATATTTCATTCCAGTGGAATGCTGGCAAATGGTTAAGTAGAAGGCATAAATCTGTATTTTGCCTGGGCCATTACGACAGTACCAAATCCTATCTTAACTCCCCGTTTTTATTAATATCCCCCTACAATCCAAGTTATCTATTTAAAAGCTAAATCATCCTTAATAGGTAAATCTACAGAGATTGACAAGTGGTGCCAGAGGTGGTAATTGCTAATGTCCATGGGGTACTTCTCAGGGGTGAAGAAAATGTTCTGGAATTACCTAGTGGTGACAATCGCACAACTTTGTGGATAAACTAAAGCCATGAAGCTATATACGTTAAGAGGGTGAGTTTCATGGTATGCAAATTCTATTTCAATTTTTTTTAAAAAAACCAAAAATAATTGTGTACATAGGCCCCTAGATTTTCCGCGAATCAATTTTGACTGTCACTCATTTTCCTGTGAATCTTCATGCTTCAACTACTTTCCAAATGTCACTAGAATTTCAGCTTCCATTTGAGAAACAGATTTTGCAAAGATTGAACATTTACTAAAAACAGCTTAAAAATCAGTTCTTCCAATGCAAATCAAAACCACAATGAGATACCATCTCACACCAGTTAGAAAGGCAATCATTAAAAAGTCAGGAAACAACAGGTGCTGGAGGGGATGTGGAGAAATAGGAACACTTTTACACTGTTGGTGGGATTGTAAACTAGTTCAACCATTATGGAAAACAGTATGGCGATTCCTC